AGCTTCAATAAGATTCAATCCTTCCTATACCCTGATCCCCGGGTACGTGTGAAAAGTAAACAACCTAGCCATTTCTAACGGCACGAATAAAACCCAAAAGGGATGAGCAATATGAAGGTGGCTGTTGATTTGATGATGCTGCTTGCGGAGTGGTACAGATAAGTATTTCTAGAGTCCCACATTTCATAACACCAAGCAATAGGATGAAAGCTGCAATGTTTATAAGCTCTTAATACGGACGCTAAAAGAGGGTTGCTCTTGTGCAGTCCAATAAAGACAAAATAACTCTTCAACACTCATGTGCTAGTGTTGAATGTGGGTGACAAAAAAGGTTGGATTACAAGATGCTGTCTCAATGTTCAGAGCGGAGAGATTCCAGTCATACCCTCCTTCGAATTGCTTCTCATTCATCAACCACCAGCTTAAATTGTCCTGTCGTTAAGAGATGGAGTTATAATAGAACTCTGATAACCATTCCACCAAATTTTATACAAAATATGGAACAAATAATGAGGGGCAAACACACTCACTTGCTTAAAGATGTCCTTGGAATGGAAAGAGATCGAAAAGGGAGATTAAAAGCCACGAATGCCATTTATTCATCGTCCGTAAGATCAGAAAAAAGCTGCCCACTTGAGCTGACCCTACTGAACTAGGTTATGGTTTGTCTGTTAGATGAGGATCACTGCACAACATGCGTGTGCTTGAGGTGAACACCAAAAAGCTTTTTGAGCCGAGAATATGTCATGGCTGATTCGAGTGGGAATCTGAAGAGGTGCAGTCAACCAGGATCTTGATAAAGTACCTGCGAGTACTTAATTAAACTTATGCAGCAGATTATTTGCTCTCAAAATGTCCCAACAGGCGCGGATTCCCACGGTCTCATTCAGTTGGAGGCCTAGCATGCAGAAAGTATGGAACCGCTAACATCATTGCAAAAGGGCTGCTATTTTACCCCATTACATCAGGTTCAAAGGGAATCGCAGGGCTCGCAGGCAGCTAGGGCACTAGAGACAAAGAGGCCCAACTTAAAACTATCCCACAAATCTGGTCCGAACAAACAGCAGTTGCAGGCTAGGAGCAGAGCCGATGTGATCCTAAGGCCACGGGGCACATGACCTTTCTTTTAGACATCATTACATAATTAATCTATCCAAACCAATTAAAGACATTGGGATTTCGGTAGATTAATGCCCCAATAAAGAAAGTTATGGAGTATAAAATACACGCATAAAAGATACAAGTCCAAACGTTCATGCATCGTAACAATCTCACCTATCCAGGCCTGGGGATGACCATCACAAGCATTCTGCTGAATGGGCAGAGTATTGCCCGAATAGACTGGCGTTCGACCATAAGGTGGGCTGACCCAAGCTTACCTTATTAAATGCTGCCTTGTAAGATTTTCCCACCGGAGGGAAATCACGGTGAAATTAATACTATTACCTTAGCAACGGCGGTCATTTGTTCGTAGCCCTACACATTTTTCTGACTTATGCTATTCGAGTTGAGTACAATCATCAGTCCCTAGAATGTGTAGAAAACTTTAGGGATTTGCGTAAACATATCACAAAGAACACCAGTTTAGAGGATGGAACACAAGTAAGAGATAGAAACCTTGGCTGATGCAGCCATTTTTGCTTTCAGTTACAGGAGACGAAAAAAAATAACGCTTGATCTTAAAACCAATCAAACACGGTTCGTAAGCGGAAAGAGGGGAAAAAGGCAGTGCACTGACCCAGTCAGGTAACCATGAGGTCCTATGAGAGGAGGTGAATTGGAGGTTAATATAGAGTGGCCATTGCTTCCCGCACTACCACTCACTGCACCTCCCTGCTGCTGAAGATGCGTTTGCGGCTGCAAAGAGGAGCAAGTGGCGAAGGGTTGGTAACGCAGATGGTGCGACGAGAGCGAGGAGGAGCCACCAGAAGTTCCCCCACCCCCCGCCGCGGACTGTTCGCCGCTTGTCTGCCTGGGGTCCACGGAAATGTGGAATTGTTGTTGTTGATGCTGCAAACTATACGGCGAATGATGTTGCACCTGGCAGCCCTCGACAGCGTAGTAACCAGACAGGTAGCCTTTGGAGAGAAGAAAATTAATAGTAAGGTTCGAAAATACTCCACACTGTCGATGGAGAAACCGGCATTCCATTTGATTTGTTCTGAGCAATTACACCTTAGTTGCGGATACTTTCTATATCAGGTAGCTCAAGTACGAAGAGAAAGGGAAGCAAAGTGTTCAGGCATGCTATCTCAGGGATACAATTAGAGTAGCATTCATTTGCTAAATCCATACCGTCATTACCATACGCAGTGGAGTAACGCACCCTTTTCCTTTTTTTTGGATTCTAGTTGACGTTTAGAATCGGGAGGCAAAAACC